TCATGAATTTTTTCACCTATTTTTTTATTTTAAAGTTCTAGCTCTTGTATTTATGATCTATTTTGAGTTTATTTTTGTATACAGTATGAGGTAGAAGTCCAACTTCATTTTTTGCATTTTGATATCCAGTTGTCCTAACACTGTTTGTTGAAAGACTATTCTTTCTCCATTGAAGAATCTTGACACCATTGTTGTAAATCAATTGACCATAGATGTGTGTGTTTATTTCTGGGCTCTCAATACTATTGTATTGATCTGTATGTCTGTCCTTATGCCAGTGTGACATTGTTTTAATTACTGTAGCCTTGTGGCAAGTTTTGTAATCAGGAAGAAAAAGTCCTACAGCTTTATTCTTCTGTCTCAAGTTTGTTTTGCTATTTGAGGTTCCTTGAAATTTCATATGAATTTGATGATTAGCTTTTATATTTCCTTAGCTGGGATTCTGTTAGAGATTTCATTGAATCTATAGATTAATTTGAGGAATATTGCCATCTTAACAATATTAAATCTTCCCCTCCATGAACATCTAATGTCTTTCCATTTGTTTAGGTCTTTAATTTTTTTAATAATGAAATTTTATTTAGGTCTTTTAATTTCTTTGGTGTACAAGTCTTGGAATTAATTTCTTAAATTTATTCTTAAATATTTTATTCTTCTTGAGTCTATTGGAAATGAAATTGTTTTAATTTTATTTTCAGATTGTTCTTTATTAGTATATAGAAATACAACAGATTTTCGTATACTGATGCTGTTTCCTACAACTTAGCTGAGTCCATTTATAAGTTCTAATAGTTTTTGTGTGTGTGTGTGTGCGTGCGTGCACAGGCGCACATGCAATTTAGGGTTTTCTATTAAGATCATATGATCTATGAATAGAAATAGTTTTACTTTCTCCTTTCCAATATGAATGTCTTTAACTTCTTTTTCTTGCCTAATTGCCCTTTGAAATTTCTATACAATGTTGAATGTAAGTGGTGAGAGGGGTTGGATGTCTTGTTTTTGATCTCAGGGAAAGCTTTCAGTTCTCCACCATTAAGTATGACATTAGCTGTGGATTTCTAATAGGTGTCTTTTATCAGGTTGAGTAAGTTCTACATTGAGTTACATTTTTGTTTGTTTTGGTAATTAAAAAAATAAATATCAAGACTACCCTTGTTAAAACTTAAGGGGGTCTGGTTTCTCCATTAGGTTTTACTGTGAGTTCTTCGGGAAACTGAAGCTCTACTTTTATTTTCCTTATTATATATGAGTATTAAAGATAGTTCCTCTGCCACAGCTGGGTAACCATCTGCAACAAGAATTTTCTAATATCCATCATGTATAACATGGAATATATTAAAACTGTAGTAAGTTTTAAGTTGTAGTGGTAGTATTTAGATATAATTTTCTTTGGACACTAAGTCTAAAGTGTCAGGATCTGTTCAGTACTTTTGAATTTATTAGAAAGGATCTGTTAAGTATAACACTTAATTTTCCAGTACATGTTTTCCATTTTTTGCCCAATTTATCCTCTCTGATTTGGAACAAATTAGTGGTTGTGAAGAATCGTATAAATGGGAGCAGAGTATGTGAAGGGTGTAGTTTGGGTATAATGTCAAAGAAAAGTCTAAACTGAAGTTTAGGATGGAAGCAAAAGGTCATAACCGGACGGTTTTGGGTATGGGATTCTTAAGGATGAGTTGAGGTTATAAGCTTAGAAGGTAGGCTATTAAATCAGAAGCCTGGAACGTTGGGGGTGTGTATTAGGATTGGAAAGTGTTTAGAGCCTACCAGAGTTAAGATAGTAGTGTTCATCTTTGAACTTAGCTGCTCTGGTTATCTATTGCTGCATGACAATCATCCCAAGCCTTAGTAGCTTAAAGTGATAAGAATCATCTGGGTGCAATGGTTCACACCTGTAATACCATACTTCAGAAGGCCAAGGCAGGAGGATCACTTAAGGCTGGGAGTTTGAGGCCAGCCTGGGCAACATTCTGAGACCCTATCTCTACAAAAAATAGAAGAATTAACCAGGTGTGGTGGTGCACACCTGTATTCTCAGCTATTCAGGAAGCTGATGTATGCAGGATGATTGCTTGAGTCCAGGAGTTCAAGGAAGCAGTGAACTATGATCACTGAGATCATAATCATCGTGAATGTGAGACCCAGTTTCTTTAAAAAGAAAGTGACAACATTTCTTTTTTTAGCTTTCCTAGTTTTACTGCGTCAGGGATTTAATAGAGGTTTACTTGGACAGTTCTAGACATTTTATCAGCTTTTCTCCCTAATATCTTTATGGTTTTTGATTTTAAAAAATTCACCAATAGGTGGCAATGTAACCCTGAAAATGAATTTTCATTTAACTCTAATAGTATGTGACAGAACCTTTATTTGACCTTTCTTCCCAAACTTACCATTTGTTTTGAGACATATTTTTCTACTTAATGTACTTAAACTGATCTGGTGGAG